TTAATCATTAGAGAAATGCAAATCAAAACTACAATGAGATATCATCTCACACCAGTCAGAATGGCCATCATCAAAAAATCTAGAAACAATAAATGCTGGAGAGGGTGTGGAGAAAAGGGAACACTCTTGCACTGCTGGTGGGAATGTGAATTGGTTCAGCCACTATGGAGAACAGTATGGAGGTTCCTTAAAAAACTACAAATAGAACTACCATATGACCCAGCAATCCCACTACTAGGTATATACCCTGAGGAAACCAGAATTCAGAAAGAGTCATGTACCAAAATGTTCATTGCAGCTCTATTTACAATAGCCCGGAGATGGAAACAACCTAAGTGCCCGTCGTCGGATGAATGGATAAAGAAGATGTGGCACATAAAAAACACAATGAGGGGAGACTTCCCTGGTGGCGCAGTGGTTAAGATCCACCTGCCAATGCAGGGACATGGGTTCGAGCCCTGGTCCAATAAGATTCCACACGCCACAGAGCAACTAAGCCCATGCACCACAACTACTGAGCCTGCGCTCTAGAGCCCATGTGCCACAACTACTGAAGCCCGCGCGCCTAGATCCCGTGATCTACAACAAGAGAAGCCACTGCAATGAAAAGCCCACGCACCGCAAGGAAGAGTATCCCCCTCTCGCTGCAACTAGAGAAAGCCCGTGTGCAGCAACGAAGACCCAACACAGCCAAAAATTAATTAATTAATTTTAAAAACCACAATGAGATACCACTTCGCATCCACTAGTATGGCTATAATCAAAACAAGGAGGGCTTCCCTGACGGCACAGTGGTTGAGAGTCCGCCTGCCGATGCAGGGGACGCGGGTTCGTGCCCCGGTCTGGGTAGATCCCACATGCCGTGGAGCGACTGGGCCCGTGAGCCATGGCCGCTGAGCCTGTGCGTCCGGAGCCTGTGCTCCGCAACGGGAGAGGCCACAACAGTGAGAGGCCTGCGTACCGCAAAAAAACAAACAATTAAGGACATTAGGTTAAATGAAATAAGTCACAAAAAGACAAATACTATATGATTCCACTTATATGAGGTTATATTATATATTATTTTATATTATATTATATATATTATAACAATCAAATTCACAGAGACAGAAAGTAGAATGGTAGTTTTCACAGGCTGAAAGGAGGTAGGGGAATGGGGAATGGGGAGTTATTTAATGGGTATAGAGCTTCAGTTCTTCAAGATGAAGAGTTCTGGACATTTGTTTTACATCTATAACACTACTGAACTGTACACTTAAAAATGGTAATGATGGTAAATTATAAATTGTGTATTTTACCTCAATTAAAAAATTTTAATTTTTAAAAAAGACAAACAGGGCTTCCCTGGTGGCGCAGTGGTTGAGAGTCCGCCTGCCGATGCAGGGGACACGGGTTCGTGCCCCGGTCTGGGAAGATCCCACATGCCGCGGAGCGGCTGGGCCTGTGAGCCATGGCCGCTGGGCCTGCGCGTCCGGAGCCTGTGCTCCGCAACGGGAGAGGCCACAACAGTGAGAGGCCCGCGTATCGCAAAAAAAAAAAAAAAAAAGACAAACAATAATAAGTATTGTTGAGGGTATAGAGAAATTGGATTTTTCATAGTGGTTATGTAAAAATGGTGCAGTCACTTTGGCAAACAATTTGACAATTCCTCAAAAAGTTAAACACAGTTACCATTTGACCCAGCAATTTCACTCCAGGGTATATACCAAGAGAATGGAAAACATCACACAAAATTTCACAAGTAAATGTTCATGGCAGCATTATTCTTAAGAGCAAAAAAGTGAAAGCAACCCAAATGTCCATCAACTGATGAATGCATAAACAAAATGTGGTATATCCATACAATGGAATATTATTCAGCCATAAAAAGGAATGAAGTACCAATACATGCTACATGAATGAATGATGAAAACATCGTAAGTGAAGCCAGACCAAAAAAGCCATATATTGTATAATTCCATTTATATGAAATGTCCAGAACAGGCAAACCTATAGACAGAAAGTAGATTAGTGGTTTCCAGGGTTGTAGGAGGGAGGAATAGGGTTTGTAGTCACTGCTAACAGGTATGTGGTTTCTTTTTGGAGTGATGAAAATTTCTGAAATTGGATAGTCATGATGGCTGCTCAGCCTTATGTATGTATACTAAAAAACACTGAATTACACAATTTAGTAAATTTTGTTATGTGAATTCTATCTTAATAAAAAAATATAGGGCTTCCCTGGTGGCGCAGTGGTTGAGGATCTGCCTGCCAATGCAGGGGACACAGGTTCGAGCCCTGGTCTGGGAAGATCCCACATGCCGCGGAGCAACTAGCCCCATGAGCCACAATTACTGAGCCTGCACGTCTGCAGCCTGTGCTCCGCAACAAGGGAGTGAGAGGCCGCGATAGTGAGAGGCCCACGCACTGCGATGAAGAGTGACCCCCGCTCGCCACAACTACAGAAAGCCCTCGCACAGAAACGAAGACCCAACACAGCCATAAATAAATAAATAAATAAAATTTTAAAACAAAAAGGCAAAATTCCTTTAAAAAATAAAAAAATATATACGCTTGATGACAGAAACCAGATATTCCCATAGTCTCAAAGTATCTTCCTCAAAGTATTTAGTAATTACAAAGGGAAAAATAGTAAGTTTACATTAGAGAATCCTGGCAGACACGACCTTAGCTAAATGATCAAGGTCAACATCACCAGTAAAATACCAACATCATGTACACCCTGATATGATGCACTGAGGAGGGCACTTTCATTTCTGTGGTATGCTTCCCCAAAATGCAAAATCTTACTCTAATCATGAGAAAACAGCAGATAAACCCAAATTGAGGGAAATCATACAAAATAACTGCCCAGCACTATTCAAGGTCATGAAAGATTGAGAAACTGTTTCCAGATCTACAGAGACATGACAACTAAATCCACTGTATGATCCTAGACTGGATACTGGAAGAGGAAAAGGATATTAGTGGGAAAACTGGTGAAATCCTAATAAATTCTGTACGTTAGTTAACAGCACTATACCAAGGTTAATTTCTTAGTTTGATAAACATTCTATGCTATGTATGATATTAACAAAAACTGAAGACGGGTGAAAGATATAGGAGAATTGTCTTTACTATTTTTGCAGCTCTTCTGTAAGTGTAAAATTTTCTCAAAAATTTTTAAAACTGTTCAGAAATGCTTCATGACATTAAAATATTTAATAGAAGGACTGAGAGATGAAATTTAGCAAACTTCCCAGAAAAGCAGAATAAAATTCTAGACTTACAGGCACTTGTCTTTGATGTGACAGAAGCCATCCTTCACCTGAGAACAAATAAGCTTATAAACTAAATACTTTTCCTAAAGCATGGTACCACAAAGCCTTAACCATTTTACCCCAAAAAGATAATTATTGAAAGGGAAGAGAACAAAAGAATGAAATGTTCTATAAAAGTTGTAAGTTCTGGCTTCCCTTGTGGTGCAGTGGTTAAGAATCCAACTGCCACTGCAGGGGACATGGGTTCAAGCCCTGGTCCGGGAAGATCCCACATGCCGCAGAGCAGCTGGGCCCGTACGTCACGGCTGCTGGGCCTGCACTCTGGAGCCGGCGAGGCACAACTACTGAAGCCCGAGCACCTACAGCCCATGCTCCAAAACGGGAGAAACCACCGCAATGAGAGGCCAGCGCACCACAACGAGGAGGGGCCCCTGCTCACCACAACTGGAGAGGGGCCGCGCGCATCAGCGAAGACCCAATGCAGCCAAAAATAAATAATAAATAAATTTATTTTAAAAAAAAGATGTGAGCTCTTTCAGCTTGTCCTAAGAAAATATATGCTGAGCATTTATGACTCTATCTCCAGTCCTACCTAATGTTCTAATTTCTGACCCTGTTTACCTTACATCAAAATAAAATCTGTTTTATATTAGCCTCATATACTCAGAATCTTACAGTCTAAGAGGCCAAAGAGATAATCAAATCCACTGGTTCTCAAAGTGCAGTCCTGGACCGTTGTCTCTAGGAAGCCATTTTAGACATGGAAATTCTATACCCACCTCAAAACTTCTGAATCAGAAACTGGTGGTGGAGCCCTGCACAGGAGTTTTAACAAGCCTCCCAGGTAATTCTGATATAGGCTAAAGTTTGAGAACCACCAATCTTATCCAATTTCCTCACAGTAGAAGTGATCTGCTTAAAGGTACAAGGTTTCTTAGAAGCGGCCATGACTAAAACCCAGGCTTCCAACCCCCAGTCCAACGCATTTGACTTAGCCCACCCTGTCCCACCACAGGTCCTAGTTCATTACAACACCGCCTCAATTATCCCATCTCCCTTTCCCT